TGGCCTTGCTACTAGGAGCAAAGACGCTACTAGGGGCTCCTGGCCTTACTACTAGGAGCAAACACGCTACTGGAATTCCTGGCCTTGCTACTAGGAGCAAAGACGCTACTAGGGGTTCCTGGCCTTACTACTAGGAGCAAAAACGCTACTAGGGGCTCCTGATCGTACTAGGAGCAAGGGCGCTACTAGAGGCTGCTGGCCTTACTACTGGAGCAAAGACGCTACTAGGGGAACCTGGCCTTACTACTAGGAGCAAAAACGCTAGGAGCTGCTGGCCTTACTACTAGGAGCAAAGACGCTACTAGGGGCTCCTGGCCATACTACTGGCCTTACTACTAGGAGCAAAGGCTCCTGGCCATACTACTAGCAGCAAAGACGCTACTAGGGCTCCTGGCCTTACTATTAGGAGCAAAGACGCTACTAGGGGCTCCTGGCCTTACAACTAGGAGCAAAGACGCTACTATGGGCTCCTTGCCTTACTACTAGGAGCAAAGACGCTAGTAGGGGCTCCTGGCCTTACTACTAGGAGCAAACACGCTACTAGGGGCTCCTGGCCTTACTACTGGCTCCTGGCATCGCTACTAGGAGCAAGGGTGCTACTAGAGACTGCTGGCCTTACTCCTAGGAGCAAAGACGCTACTAGGGGCTCCTGGCCTTGCTACTAGGAGCAAGAAGCTACTAGGGGGCTCCTGGCCTTACTACTAGGAGCAAAGACGCTACCAGGGGCTCCTGGCCTTACTACTAGGAGCAAGAAGCTACTAGGGGCTCCTGGCCTTACTACTAGGAGCAAAGACGCTACTAGGGGCTCCTGGCCTTACTGCTAGGAGCAAGGACGCTACTAGACTCCTGGCCTTACTACAAGGAGCAAAGACGCTACTAGGGGCTCCTGGCAAGAACGCTACTAGGGGCTCCTGGCCTTACTACTAGGAGCAAACACGCTACTGGGGCTCCTGGCCTTGCTACTAGGAGCAAAGACGCTGCTAGGGGCTCCTGGCATTGCTACTATAGGAGCAAGGACGCTACCAGGGGCTCCCGGCCTTACTACTAGGAGCAAAGACGCTACTTGGGGCTCCTGGCCTCACTACTAGGAGCAAAGACGCTACTAGGGGCCCTTGGCATCGCTACTAGCAGCAAGGACGCTACTAGGGGCTCCTGGCCTTACTACTAGATGCAAAGACGCTACTAGGGGAACCTGGCCTTACTACTAGGAGCAAAGACGCTACTAGGAGCTGCTGGCCTTACTACTAGGAGCAAAGACGCTACTAGGGGCTCCTGGCCATACTACCGGCCTTACTACTAGGAGCAAAGACGCTGCTAGGGCGCCTGGCCTTACTACTAGCAAAGACGCTACTAGGGCTCCTGGCCTTACTACTAGGAGCAAAGACGCTACTAGGGACTCCTGGCATCGCTACTAGGAGCAAGGACGCTACTAGGGGCCCCTGGCCTTACAACTAGGAGCAAAGACGCTACTTTGGGCTCCTGGTCTTACCACCAGGAGCAAAGACGCTAGTAGGGGCGCCTGGCCTTACTACTAGGAGCAAAGACGCTACTAGGGGCTCCTGGCCATACTACTGGCTCCTGGCATCGCTACTACGAGCAAGGGTGCTACTAGAGACTGCTGGCCTTACTCCTAGAAGCAAAGACGCTAGTAGGGGCTCCTGGCCTTACTACTAGGAACAAGAAGCTACTAGGGGCTCCTGGCCTTACTACTAGCAAAGACGCTACTCGGGGCTCCTGGCCTTAATACTAGGAGCAAGAAGCTACTAGGGGCTCCTGGCCTTACTACTCGGAGCAAAGACGCTACTAGGGGCTCCTGGCCTTACCACTAGGAACAAGAACGCTACTAGGGGCTCCTGGCCTTACTACTATAGGAGCAAAGACGCTACTAGGGGCTCCTGGCCTTACTACTGGCTCCTGGCATCGCTACTAGGAGCAAGGGTGCTACTAGGATCCTGGCCTTACTACTAAGAACAAAGACACTACTAGGGGCTCCTGGCCTTACTACTAGGAGCAAAGACGCTACTAGGGGCTCCTGGCATCGCTACTAGGAGCAAGGACGCTACTAGGATCCTGGCCTTACGACTAAGAACAAAGACGCTGCTAGGGGCTCCTCGCCTTACTACTAGGAGCAAAGACGCTACTAGGGGCTCCTGGCATCGCTACTAGGAGCAAGGGTGCTACTAGAGACTGCTGGCCTTACTATTAGGAGCAAAGACGCTACTAGGGGCTCCTGGCCTTACTACTAGGAGCAAAGACGCTACTAGGGGCTCGTGGCCTTACTATTAGGAGCAAAGACGCTACTAGGGGCTCCTGGCCTTACTACTAGGAGCAAAGTCGCTACTAGGGGCTCCTGTCATCGCTACTAGGAGCAAACACGCTACTAGGGGCTCCTGGCCTTACTACTAGGAGCAAAGACGCTACTAGGGGCTCCTGGCCTTCTGCTAGGAGCAAAGACGCTACTAGGAGCAAAGACGCTACTAGGGGCTGTTGGCCTTACTACTAGGAGCAAAGACGCTACTAGGGGCTCCTGGCCTTACTATTAGGAGCAAAGACGCTACTAGGGGCTCCTGGCCTTACTACTAGAATC